ATTTTTTCATTTCATGCTTGAAGGAATTGTTAAACACAGAAATGAAAGAACAAGTAAATGTACACATAAACACAATTACAGCAACTCCTATATCTTTTTTATTGCTAAAGTAGTTTATGCTTTCATTTTTTTAGTATTTTGAAAAATTTTATTCCTAAGTATAAATTGTTTTACTATAGAATTACAGAACAAAACATGTATCACAAATTTTAAAAAAGTACATGTTTAAGCTAATTGCTGTAGAGCACATATTATAAACACATTCCACCTCCCCCCGTTTTATAAAGGTGTTGGGGATCCAACCCAGGGATTCTTTGATTACATAATGCAAAAAAAAAAAAAAGGCAATCTCTTTGCATCGGCAGTTAATGTAAAGGGGACAATGACAGAGGTGACTCTACTTTGAATTAGAGTCACTTAAAAGCAGCCATCTAAAGAGGCATGGGAAACAGACTTTTCAAACAAATAACAAATCCCTTACCAAAATAACAAAATGCAGCTGTACAATGTAGGTAAAGGGCCCCAAGGCCAGGACGAGTACTTCCAAGACCAAGAAGCTGACCAGACCTTTCTGGAATGTTCAATTTGATAAGGAGGACAGGCAGATAACTGAGTTCAACCAGAAGCTGACTCAGTATCAACCAATCACAAATATAGTTTCAAGGTAGACTAGTTGGGCCTAAACCAATTAGAGCTCTGTATCTTCCTAGACTTCAGTCAGTGTTTGGCTTAGCTCTTTCACTAAATCCCACCCATTAGTGTGCTTTGTTATTCTTTCAATAAACTTTGTGCTTGCTCTACTTTTAATTACTGGTCTGGAATCTTTAATCATCAATTTCGCCAGGACATGAACTCAGGTTAACAATCCAGTATCGTTAATACATTATTTTTTAATTGAAAATAGCGTAAGTATCCTTGGTGTAACTATACAGTAAAACTTTTTTTATAAGCTTTATATGTTAAAATTGTACAATATTAACATGCTGCAATAATTTCTCATGATGCAAACACTCGGCATTTGTTTCAGTGACTATATTCCTTCTTCTACTCCTACAAGAAGGGATTTTGCCATCTTGCTCACTGCTGAAAGAGTCCTGAAGATTCTTTGTGAAATAATTCTCAACTAATAATAAATGAATACTCTCTAACATGATCTATAACCATTCCTGAAGTCCAAAATAGCTATTTTTCTCATGCTAACAAAAAGAAAAAGTGATATCAGATTTATAAATATATACTATACCAGATTTATAAATAGTTATACTATTTAGCATAAACTCTGGATTTTTACATATGATAAAGTGAGGTCAACGATGATGGTAATTCAGTTCTATTTAATGAGTAGGGATATCATGCTAATAGGTGCAAAAGTTGGCTAGTTATAGCAAGAAATGGGATGAGATATTTCCTGATTCTTAGATGAACATTCTTTCCAAAAAATTATTCTTCTGTTCATTTAAGAAAATAAACTGTCCCGTTTACCAAACGGGAAAAAGGAGAGGAATAACCACATTGTAAGGAGATATACAGAAGAAAAGAAACAGTGAAAGCAAAAACGACAGGATAGAAAAATACAGACTCCCCAACCCATTAAAAATAGACCCATCTGCTGTGCATTGTGAATATCTGTAATCTCAGCACCCAGGAGAGGAGGCTGAGGCAGGAGGGATGGAGTTCGGGGAACAGCCTTGTAGACTACAAGAGTAAGGCCCTGTCTCAAATACAAAACAACAACAAAAAAAGACATCTAACAATACTTTGTAGCTAAAAAAGAGTTTAATAGTAACAAAAGATAAACTAGAAAAGGCTATATTTAGTTTTCATCTTTATTAGGAAGAAAACAAAAAATAAGTGAAAATGTTTACCACTCTAGGAAATACTGACCTTAGTCAATATTAGTTGATCATCTTTAGTGCCCTTTCAGAATTTTCAAGGCATATGATCAGTTCATCTTATAAAGCCAGGTTATGGACATAATGAGATGAACAGGACTTGGAGGAAGAGACTATACAACTATTTGGTTTTAACTCTAGATCCCTGATTCTTTAAGCCACCAGAAGTTCTATGAAGACACAGAATGAACTAACTACATTTAAAAATAACTTAGTCTTATTTTACCAAATAAAGCCATATGTCTTGATAGAGTATTTTTAATTATGTGATGGCTCAGGAAGTTGTATGAATTCAGAGAATGTTGAGACCTCATGCTTCATAATACTGAGAATTTAAAATCTTTTATTTGACAGAATAAAATCTTTCAAGTGATGTTCCAATCATAGATTCCATAATGAATCCTACTTATTGTTTCCTGGACCTATCAATTCCATTAGTAGATGAATATCTCTTCTGAATCATAACTGAAGAAGAAATGATACTATTTTACCAATAATATTTATATCAGAAACAATAAGACAATGAGTCCATTAAACTTGCATATGCACTGGTCATTTTACGCATAGTGTTTCTGGGGAAAACACTAAAGCTAATCAAAATGCACAAGTATTAAGATAAAATTACATGCTTTTCATTTCAGACAAATCAGTAGGAGTAAGAGGGAGAATACAGCTCTGATTTTTATAGTGCAATAGGTAGGGAAGGAGAGAGAATCAACAAATTCTACAATCATATAGAGAGAGTAAGATTTTCCTACTTAATGTGGCAAAGATCTATAATAAAAATAACTGAACTTTGATGCATTTTATAATGACAAGAGTATAATAAAATAAAAAGAACTCTACTAGTACAACTGAGGAATAATATTATTTGGTTTTTATAAAATGCAAACCCTTGTGCAATGGAGTAACATAATTTGTGGTACAAAGACACAAGTAAACCGGTTAGTTCAAGTTTTCTCTAAAAGGCTAAAAAAATAAATAAATAAATACACCAAACCTGTTACTTAAAGCAAGGTGCAGTTTATGCAAATTCTCAGTATACTCTGGGAGAGTTCTTTAAAAACAATGGATCAACAGAACTTTGGAAGTACAGGTTATTCTACACAATAAAGAATTCTATGCCTTTTCTCTGATATTACTGAACAATTTTTATTATTATACAATTTTTCAAATTCAAAATAATTTTCAAAACTGATCTTCTCAAGCAATAGAGCACCTGTTTAGCAAGTGCTAAACCCTTAGTTCAAACTTTCTCCCATACTCCGAGAAATATAACTGCTGATCTTTAGAGTAAGAATGATTATAAATACCAGATGAGATTCTTTTCAAATCTAACACATCAGAACATTCACATACAAAATAAATGTCAGATTCTAGTATATAATCTTGATATAAGACATACACTTATTTTCGTGATGCTGATATATCTTAAGATATATTTGAAATGCTTCTTCTAGAAATACACATGAAGTACCATTAGGCTATACCCACAATTCGATCAGTGTTATCCAACTAAAGCACTTATTATTTGGTCTTTTGAATATTAGCTATTTCCAAAATATTTAAAGCTACATGAAAAGACATGAATTTTCTGCACTTAAATTATACAAATGAATATAAACCTTAAGCCATGAAATTCGAAAAGAGGCCTCAAACTTGTTTTCAATACTAAACAAAAAAGACAGCTATATGGAAGGACATTTATTTATTCATTTAAAAAAGGAAAAATAAAACCTTTTTTATCTTTTACAGTCATTCCCTATATAAACTTTACCCTTCATTTTGGATTTTACATGTGAAAAACATTAAAAGGAATTTTACCCCCCACCCCAGTTCACTTAACTTTTCATGCAAAGTACCTCAATTACTGACCTATAAAATTTAATATTTTAAATTCTACACACTAAAAATTTCAAAACAAGTCCTGTTTAGCAAGGGTTTAAATGATACCTGCAGATTTGGTTAGAGAAGAAAAGAATGTGGTACTTCAAAATGATAGAAAAAGAATTTTAATTTGGTATAAAACACTTAAATATTCACAAGATTTTAAATACGCTCACACATATGCTACAAATAAATTACATGCTCTGCTGAACTTTCAAAATGTATTTTAATCTCATTCCAAACAGAAATAAAATTTCTAGATACAAATACATCTCATTCAAATCACTTTTTAATATACATTCAGCAACTTAAAATATTACAAGGATCTAATATTTTCATCTTTTATAACCTCAATATATTATATATTTAATATATAATATATACAATACATACAGGGAATCAGCAGGATTACAAAGTACTTTTTAAAAGTCTGATCAGTACTGATAAATATTTTTAGATTATTAAAAGGAACTATTTAGGATCACAGAATAAAATAGAATAACAGCAAGATGGTAAATGTTCATTTGGCCAGTCATTTCAAAAGAACTTTCAAGTTGGGAAAAATACATTTTAAAACAATACTCTTGCTACTCTCAAGCAGCAAGAGATACCAAGCATGTACATCTCCACTAAATTTAAAGTAACTATGCAGCTTTCCTTACTGTAATATACAGTAGCTATTGCTTCCTTTCTGCTGGAGTTTTGTTGTTGTCTGAAGAGTAATTAAAATATTACCAACAGAAGTGACTATAGTTCCCTTCTCTCTCCTAACACATGGCTCAGGTTGGAGATTGTTCTACTGGCTGCCACTGTGACTATTATTAACAGTACCTCAATAATATTAAGAGGAACCACTAACTGAAAGTAATATGAGAAGTTTAAAGACTGCTAGAGATTTCTACTGTAAACCAAGGTAATCAGAAGTATTACCCTTGCAGAAAGCCCTCTCACATTAGTTAATACAATGAGTTAAAATTCCAATGCCACAGTGTAACAGTTAACAATTTATCCTGTGATTTTAAATATTATAGCATTAATTCACCCTGAGAATACAGAGGAAGCATTTTAAAATAAGATACTCTGATACACACACACACACACACACACACACACACACACACACACACACACGTAGTTTTTCCTTTGTATTTGCTTTTTTCTGGTTTTTGTCAGCCCCTCAAGGACACAAATATTTAAACTCAAAGTTTGACTTGAACATCCACTTTGTTGACTGATATTCATGCCACAGTCAGATACTGGTGATAGAAAAGCCCAAAAAGGCTTGTAGAAAACAGGCAAGCAGCAATCCACCATGTCAAAAATGAAGAAGTCCTCGAAAAAGGAGAGGAGTGAATATGTTTTTTAAGCTGCTCAGTGCCACTGTTATTTGGGTAACAGTTACCTTCATCTTTCCATCAGTAGATGGTAATTCAGAGTAAACAGAATTGGAGGGTAGACTATTATCCACCAGCAAGGTAGAGACAGATTCTGGATAAATCCCCCAGGAATGATTACCTAGAAAATTCAAGACACAAAACTTGGAGAGTAATTCCAAAACTTCCTAGTAAAAAATAAATAATAAAATTTCTTAGTCTATGTTTGAAATGAAGAACAAGTTTAGTTGCACAGCAAATTACTTTATGTTGAAAATAAAGTAAAATACTAAATTTGGCCAGACTATAGACACATCAGTACATAAAAGCAAAAGTCTGATATACTTTTTAATAAAGTGTAGTAAAACCTGGTAATATAATAAAACACTTTTTTTCCTTGTGTAAGACATGAATCAACTACCTCCACTAGAGTGACAGGGACAGACTCAATAACTTCCTAGAAATCTTTTCTACCTCTACAACATCAGAATAAATTTCTTTCTTAGAAACTATCCATGATTTCAATATGACAAACTATTAATAGCTTTTAGAAATTTTTTCATCATATACTTTCCTACGTTACATAGGATATTAGTCACATAATTTACAGCTGATCTGACTACCCCTGTCCATTCCATAGATTCTTAAGGGACATTTATACCTATCATCAACTCAATGGTATTGACTAAGCCTACCCAAATAGTACTTTTAGTTCCTTTGGGCTCCTTAACGCCCCTCTCAATGTTAGGCTGCCTGACCTAAGAAAAAGGAAATGATCAATACGATAATAGAGAGTTCTTAAATAATACTATACAGGGATTTTATAGCTTAATGAAGAGATTTGTAGAAGAATCTTGTTCTTTCACTGAAAAATCTCAACCCTTTCAACAGAAGTTATCTTATGTCAAACTCACCAGAGAATTCTGTAATCTATGTAAATTTACAAGTACTTTGTAGTAATTTAAATGTTAAACACTAAAAAAACTTTGTATCATCCTTTTATAACACAAAAGTAACCAATATCTACACTGCTCACTCACATTACTTGGTAAATTTGGGAATTAACCTTTAATAAATAATTCTTGTAAGTAAAACAGACCATATTGACCTTAGTTTTCAAAATCAAAATGATAATCAATTTCTATAGCTAAAACTTACCCATGCTGCTTCTTAAAACTTTTAAAAAGAGAAACAATTTTATGAGGCCTATTTCTTTGCAAAGAACAGAAAGCATTATTAATTATAGGCACAAAGTAAAAGATGTTCCCCAATTGTGAGGGCATGCTTACCCAGTGTTTTCAAGAGCAGAGTCATGTGAAGAAGCATCACCAGAGGTGCCACATACTGCAGGGCAATGACACAAAGGTAATAAAAGACTCGAGCCACCTGCAACCAACATTATTCTTAAATATTTATGATATGTTATGAGTGAATTTAACTTTCATACAGTTGCCAAATTGAAATGCTTTCTTCCTTTCAAGGTAAGACAGCTAAATGTTATTAAGTTTGTACTTCATTATAAATGTTCCCAAACTGACTTCAGAAAGGCTCAATTTGAAGATAGGTTTATGGAATATGAAAACAATATTTCAAACATAAAACAAAATGTTAAAATCGGCAAGGACAGCTACCTAAAATATCAAAGTAAGTAACAATAGCAGGCAGTTATATATGAGCATAAAACTCCTCATAAATAAAAACATTAAATTCTCATTATACAGAAACACATTTAATTGAGGTCAAAATTATAGAGAATATGAAAATATATGAAAGCTAAAGCATAAAAAAATGGGTTAACTTAGTAAATGTTTTGACTGTGGAGAAGAAGTAAAAACAGGAGGCCCAATACCGAATCTCTAAAAAAGATAAGATCACAGTGTAAGTCTGCTATAATGTTGGATGGATTCCTAGCATTTTTCTTCTCTGTAATCTCCATAAATACTCACATTTTATGTTCAAGTTACATGGAGTAATGTTAAATGGAATAAATTTAGCCCCTAAAATGAGTATTTTCTGTCCTTTAAGGCCTGGCCAACACATTGTAGTATCTTTCACATCAATAAGACAGTCCCACTGAGCAACAGTGGACATCTAACAGCCTTGCACCACCCAACCATATGACACAAGAATTAAGGTAGAAAGAGGAACTGAGACCCTTTTTTAGCAACAAAATCAGATATAGGTCTCTCTGGACTGCCTCACTTATTTACATTAAGAATACTATGGAAACCAAATTCTTTTTTTTTCTAACAACAGTTTTTCATTTTGACTATGATATAAAACTTACCATTTTCTGTAGCTCAACTGTACTTATTCGCCCTGCTTCTTTCTTCATCTGATCCACACACTTCTGGGCTAAGTTTAAATATGCTTGCAGGTGACTACGTATCATGGCCAACCGCAAAGCACACAGCAGGATAATAATCCAGAGTCGCACAGTATCGAATGTAGCTTCTGTCATTCTATAGATCAAAAAGTTGATATGGTGCTCTCAAAGACCACAATATGCTAGCATGCTAGTAATATGTTATTGCTCATCATATAAAATACAGGAAATCTATACTTAGCTAAAGTTGGAGACCTGAAACAAAAGAATCCTACTCTGTCATAACTTATCTACATAATAATTTCACTTGTATAACAGAACTACACAGATGAATATATCATGAAAGTGTATAAAAATATCAAGAAGAAAAAAGCAGAGCAATACTTCCATGTCCATGGAAGAAACACTGCCTGTGACATGAGAGGTTGAGTCCTCTTAAACTAGAGGAGACCATAGGAGATCACCTGTAGTACTAATCAAGTCAACAACCAATCTATTATAATTGGCTATAGCTCTGTTGGATTACACATTCATGTATAGATACATACATACACATACACACATATTTAGTTGGGGGTCGTTCACTTTACTGTGCTTCTAATTGAGACCATTAGAAAATTTGGTATATTATAAAGGTATCAGATGCCTCAGATTTCTCTACAAGAGCTATGTTCTAAAGCTGATCTGGAACTTATAAATCTCTGAGCTGAGCACTGGTGGCTCACACCTGTACTCCTAGCTACTCAGGAGGCAGAGATCAGGAGGATCCAAGTTTGAAGCCAGTCCTGGGCAAACAGTTTATGAGACCCTATCTGGAAAAAACTGAACACAAAAAAGGGCTGGTAGAGTGGCTCAAGTGGTGGAGTGCTAGACTAGCCAAATGTGAGGCACTGAGTTCAAACCCCAGTACTACCACAAAAAGTAATAAAAGTGTCTCCCTAAAATTCTTAAGAACATGAGGATAGAATAGGTGGATATAAAGAAGTACAAATGGGAAGCAATATTAAAAAACAAAAATAAAAGGAAAAAAAACCTTACAACAGTTCTCCCCAAAAGAGATTCCATTACCACCCAGTACTTCTGTCCAGTAGCAAGTACCTAAGAAAGGAACTAAAAGCCTAATATAGGAAAAGTTGTTTGAGGAAGTTATGCTGTTGAATAGGACAGGGAACAGAAAAAGTAGAGAAACCATAAAAGTATGTGATTTTGTTTGAACCACTAATAAAATGGAGGTCAGAAATGGGGATGGCACGAAGGTTTTATAATTATAATCTTTTGTTTCCTTTTATAAGTTCTTGAGTGCACATGGATGTAAAATTCTAGTGGAAAAGCACTGTTGGCTAGGAAGGATTAAAGACATAACATATTATCAATGTTTCCATTGTAATAACAGTGAGATGTAAGAGCTAGTCATGTAAGAGTAACAGTATGCAAGATGCAAAGCCATCAACATTCTTGAAGCTTTCCAGGGACCTATACATACAATTGTACTCCCTGGAATGTGCAACAAGGAAAATTTATTGGTACCATCCTGAAGACAACTATTTCATAGCTGCTGGCATTAACAGATAATGAAAGTAAAAGGACTAGAATAAAGCAGTGAATCAGAAATCCACTTGCTTGTTTTATGAGTTTAGGATTTGGGATTATAGTCACTAAAAAGTATCTTCTAATTCAGATTAAAGTAGCATAAATATTTCATAAAGTGGTCAGATGGGGTATCTCGAAGGAGCTTAGCTGGGTTAGAACATGTAGGTAAAGAACAAGCAGAAAAAATTACCTAAGATTCTGATCTAATACTAGGCTTTACTGGATATGCCTCTTTTGGTTTTCTTTTTGAGAATATGAGCACACATAGATTCCATTTAACCACATTTTAGTTTTTTGATGCTGTATCAGAATATATGCACGAATTTAAACACATTTCCAAACTGAAATAGCATTATAACCATTTTCCCTTTTGACTATAAAGACTTTTCTATAAACCAATTAGGCTATGTGACAGAAGTACCTGTTACTTGCTTTTTCCTTCATCCCAATCTCTGATGGGCAGCCATTCTTTCACATTCAAAGATGTACAATTAAAGAAAAATGGGATGGTGCCGAGTTAAATTATGATTTTGTGTGAACTGCTTATGAAATAGGTTAGAAATGAAAATGGAACAAAGGGAAAAAAGTTACAGGAAGTGGACCCAGGACTTTGTGTACAAACAAAATGGGATATGAATTTTGATATAACTACCAATTTTTTCTTTTTGAGACAGTCTCACTATGTAGACCAGGCTGGTCTAGAACTAATGATCCTCCTGCTTCAGCTGGGTTTACATGTGTGCACCACCATACCTGCCTCCCCAAATGTTTTATATAGATCAAATCTTACTGAATAGACTTAACCAAATTTAACTTCTGAGTTGTTATGTCATCTATAAAATGAAATGAGAATGGCAACCATAAATAGATAATTACTATACAAACTAATGAGATAAAACACATGAAGTATCAGTATAAGGCGTAACTGGTAAATGATAGGTGTACCACCAATATTAATTTGTTTTCCCAATTTTAAAATAAAATCAGAGAACATAATTATGACAGTATAAACTAATTATTTTCATGACCAAATTTCAAGAGAGGACTGGGAATGTTTTCAACATCAAAGACACAAACTAGAAGTTTCTCTTAAGATTTTGTCTAGAACTCTAGGATCCTTAGAATTACTTTTAAATACTTTAGGAAATTATCAAGTTAAAATTACTATTAAGGTTTAGTTGTGTGCAGAAAGAAGCACTACTTTTTCAGTGCATGTTTCTCTGCTTCAGTAGGATTAACTAAAAAAATTTTCATGGTCACTACTGATTACATACTCTAAGACAAACTTGTACCAAGATCTTAAGAAAAAAAGCACATAATATAAAATGCATGCTGGAGTCACTCACTAATCAAGCATTTTTATTTTAATTTTGATGAGCCAAAGCAGTCAAAGGAACACTTATTAAGTACTTACTTCCAGCTGGTTGCATTACATGAGTTCTTTCTTATAAATCCAATGATAACCCTATGAGACAGATACTACCATCTTCAATTTCCAGCTAGGAAAACAGAGGCTCAATGTAGTTAAATAATCTGCCTCAAATGACAATGCCAGTGAGAAGCAAAGCCAGAGTTTGAACCAGAACTGAACTGTCTGAACCTTTCTATTACTCTTAACATAGTTCTATAAGCACATATCTAACATATCAAGTATAGTAACTAACACCTTTTAGTAAATTGTGTGTATGTTTTCTTGCCTATCTTATTCTGCTTAAATACAAATGAATTAGATAATAATGTTAAGGAATTATTAGAATACTATTATTGTAGGAAAATGTCCTTAATTTTCAGATGTGCAAACTGTAGCACTTAGGTATAAGAACTTGATCCAAAAAAAAAAAAAGAAGTAAATACAGAAAATGTATGTTAAAATTTCCATATATATGGAAATTATATGCATCTCCATGTATACTACTTTTTCTTCTATAACTTTCACATTAAAAAAAATATAAAAAGCCAGGTGCTGGTGGCTCAAGTCCGTACTAGAGGTGTGGCACAGGAAGCCCTTAGCTTAAATCCTAGTCTTACCAAAAAAAACCAAAAAACAACAACAAAAAAACCCCACATTTTACATATATGTGTGTGTGTGTGTGTGTGTGTGTATATATATATATATATATATATATATGTATATATATATACACATACATATATAAATATAATAAAAGCACTGCAGACAGTATCTAAACAATAGTCATGGTCGCAACAGAAAAGTGTCAGATGATAACTGGACACTCAAGACAAAAAACTTACACAAGCTAGTATTGGTATGGGGTAATAATCATTACTACTCATTTAAAAAGATCACAGGAAGGTTAAATAATGGCCTGCAGCTTCAACTCTAACATCTCTTAGCATTTCTATTAATTTTTAAAAACTATTGTGTCCTAACTTTATCATTAAAAACTCAAATACAAGTTGGGCATCATGGTGCACACCTGTAATTCCAGCACTCAGGAGGTGAAGGTAGGAGGATTTCGAGTTTAAGGCAAAGCTGAAGTACGTAATGAGTTCCAAGCCAGCGTGGGCTATGAGACCCTGTCTCAAAAAAAAAAAAAGTAAATAAAAAATTAAAAGATAACAAAAATCAAAACAACAAAAACCCAAAATCAAAAAAATTAAACACAGTAAGTAACGTTTAGAAAAGCAGCTTTGATTTAAAATGAAACAAAAATTAGCCTTCAAATGCCCATACTTACAAAGGGACACTTTCTTTACCCAATGGTGGGTTCATAATGTAGTCTTTGGTGATCGGTTTTACCCAGAGCAGAACCATAAATAAAGGAGCCAAAAAGTTGATATGAAGTAATGTTCTGAAAGTGTGTAAGAAATAAACATAAAAATCCAGAAACATAATGCACTCATAAACTACAGAAACTTGGGTATTATATTTTTCATCATCATTTAACACTGATTTGAAACAATGTTATTATCTTAATTTTTCACATGAGAACATTCAGACCAGGAAAGTTAAATGACTTCTGGCAATTTAACAGATAGGATTAAAATCCAGATTTTTCACTTCTATTTTAGGATGCATTGTTTAAAAATCTCATACTAAATCCCTATTCAATAAACAGTTATGTTAATAATTCTCTAATTTTACAGTCAATAAATCCAATGGCAGATATCAAAGAACAAGCTGATACTTTCCAGTGCAGCCGAAATAAACTGCTTGCTTATTATTTACAAGTAAACAGTGATTAACCAGGTCCATAATACTAGAAGGCACACGGCAGATAGAATTTACTGCAACAACTTGTAACTGAGGAAACTTTCAATATGTAATAATCAGGAATACTGTTTAAATTATATTGTCAAAATTACAAGTGATTTTATTTCTTCTTGGACTATTATGAACATAGCTGAAATTAATTTCTCTATACAAATCAAGAAAATTTACTTTATTCTTGACAAGGACATATACCTAGTACAGCAAAGGGTTTTGGCTGAGTTTTAACTGCACTGTTACTAGTAAGTTTGTAATCTACAAAACAAATGACTGGTAAAAATTTTTCTTATTTTGGAGAAAAGGTAAATTCTTCAGACTATTTTATTAATGTGCAGCTTTCATTATCAACCAGAGAACTCAACTAGAAGGTTTAAAATATATATACAAAAACACACACTTAAAAATATCACTATATAGCCTGAAGACAGTGATCTATGTGAGGAGACAGGGCTGGGTCATGAAATCATGAACCTGACAAGAAAAAGTGGAACTCCGGTTATAAGCCCCAGCACTGAAACAAGTCCTAGTGCCTTGCCAGGCTCTCTGTGACAGTCAGGTTACTCACCACAAAACTAGCTTGCTCACACCCTTCTATCAGGGCAAAGGGCTATAATACAATGAAGGGCTGCAATAAATTGAAAATAAGCCCCAAATCCCCAAAGGGAAAAGCTTAAAAAGAAGCCACGTTTAAAAGAAAAAAGCCACGTTCTACTGAAAAGGACACTAAAACATGCCACTCCACTCCCCTAACCAGCACTAAATGCTTTATGTTTTTATAAAATGATTCTTTCAACCCACAGACTTGGTAAACCATCAGATGTGGGGAAAGAAAGAAGCAGTATTAGGTATGCAGTGTTGCTAGGGAACACTCTAGTATCAAGGAGCAGCCCACAGCGGTTTCAGTAGCTTGTGAAGGGCTCCCCTCCACCCACCCTTTTCAGCTTATTTAAATCATAACACTGGGTTAGTGGACTGAAGTGTGTGTACAGAAGAGGAGGGGGAGAACCAGGTTTTGTCTTAAAAAAAGCTATTAGAGAGCGGGTGGTGGGAGAAAACTAGGATGTAGTCAAGAGCATGCTGAGTAAAAGGGGGATGAAGGAGTGTGTAATGGGGAGGTGAGAATAAGTAAGCATGTGCAAAAAATGGAAGCAAGGGGGAAAAAAGACAGTGAAAATTAAAGAAAAATGGCATAGGTAAGAGAGGTAAGGATGTTAAAAGATTAGAGTTAGCATATTAAATACAGGGTTTAAAGGAGTGGCAACATTAGGAAGTAAGAATACCTAGAGAAATTTAATGACTACAAACATGTATTGAAATGGACTATTGTCAAATTGGGCTTCCACTGCAAAGAAAACTTTAAGACAAAAATTTGGATCTGGACATGAGTTGAAGGTAAAAGCCTGCTTTCTGCCAAGGGGTCTACATCAACAAAAAAAATCTAACAACACAAATATACATATAAAGGGTTTTGAACTGTATGTAAAGATTCAGTATGATTTCTCCATTTCAGAACTAAAATAGAATCAGTGGTTAAAAATAATCTATGTTATGGAACATTGTACAGTATTAGCAATCTAAAACAAATTAATGTATTATTTTACCAAGAATCTAATAAGATAAATAATTTAAGAAAAACAAAATATTTCTTATAACTTTTAGTTTTGAAAATTTTTAAATAAAATACTTTAAATAGAAATATCTGAATAAACATATAAAATTTAAATCAGTATTTTTAAATGACCTAAGTTTTTAAAAAGGAAATTTCCATGAACTCCTCAGTTCAAATGTAAAGGTCAAAGTATCATAACCCTCTGAATTAAAAAAGAACTAATATAAATTTGAGTATTTTCATTTTCATAGGTAAAACAGAAATACAGTAGCCAATGGTACATTTTTTAACACAAGACTTGAAATTTTAAAGAGAAACTGCAAAGTTGAGAAAGGAAGTGGTGCTAGAGCAAATGGTTATTTGATTATTAATTTTTGACACAATAATTTATGATTTTATTACAATAATATACCTTCATTAAGATGGAAAACATATATTTATCTGCATGTGCTTATGTACATTTTCCGCTTACTGTGTAATTTTTTCTGTTGCCAAATTCAGGGCATCCAGATGCATTTGAGCCAGCCGTAATCCAGGAAATGTCAAAAAAGCCCCAATGAGTGAACAGAAAATAGCCAGGAAAAATTTGAAAGTAAGTTTTGAAACAGGACCTCTAAAAGTAAAGTAAAAAAAGGTGATAAAGTTTTATGGTTATCTGGTCAATTACTTTACAAATCACAATAATGTAAATAAAATACACAAAGTAAGTGTCTACAAAAATATTCATATTCAAGTAGTTGTAACAGATCTTGGTGACCTGTAAACTAAACCAGGTAACTCTTTTAGTGACACTCATAATAATCCAAGGTATATATCAATATAAAATGAGTGTAATCTCTAGACACAGGGGAATTAAACAAGACCAAATCAATGTAAGAATTTTAAGAAAGATTCTAACGTTTAGCAGTCGTAAAAATTACAAATAAGGACATTTCCAGAAGTGATGGTCCAGAGCTGGGGAGGCAGCTTGACAGTAATACCCCTGCCTAGCACATGCAAGGTGCTGAGTATCAGGATACCTTACGCTTCCCCCCACCACCAAAAATAAGACAATATAAAAGTGACACTTTGACTAGAAAGAATTCTTTCCACTAATTAAAAACAATTATAGTAAAAACTTCTCTTTTAAAACCAGAAAATTTTAAATAATGCTTTAAGAAAAAAACTTACTGAGATTCTAAACCTTGCTTTTCAAGAAACTGCATCGCAGTGTCTGAAAAATTTGTAACCCTGTAGGAAAAAAAGAGATTATTCATATCATAGGGTAAAATACAGAATCTTTTCTTGAAAATAAAATGTTAGAAAACAGAGCATCTTAAATTTTGAAGCAACTAGCTTAGCTCTTTCATGTGTTAATTAGCATATCACAAAGCAATAAAATTTGGTTATTAGCAGGAGCAGTCTTTCAAAACATCCCTTGATATTTGTACATTCCATGAGTGTGCATAAAATTTGCATTAGTCTTTATGTGAGTAACTTTTAGTATTATAGAAATTTATTTAAATGCAAGGAAAAATGAGGGGAGACTGTGGGAAAAGGTTAATAAAAACTTAAGCTAGAACAACAACAAAGACGAAGGAAGATCTCAATAACAACAAAAGCAAAGGAAGATCTCATTAAGATTAATAATAATAAAGGTTAATTATTTAGAACACCAGAAGCATACACTTTAATCCTAATTTCAAACATTTTTTAATCATACAAAACTTAAATACTGAAGTAAAACAATGTTAACACTGGTTAAATCAAGTGATTTTTGAAGATGTATGAGACTATTACCTGATTCAAGTCCAAATTCCAGGTAATTCTCTGTTACAATCAAAACTGCCATTGCTTTGACGAAGAAAAAAATCCAAAGGTGACACAGACTGATCTTTCGCCACCATCTTCTACTTTAAAATAGTGTGTAGTTAATGAAAATAAAACTTTGCTGCAGAAGGAAGGAAAAGTTCAGGAAAAACCACAAATAACTTTGTGGCAGCTATGCACAACCATCTTTACAGGATATGAACTCCAACAGAATTTTTAACATTTATTTTGGTTCTACCTGCTTGTTTATAAGATGCCCTTTGGAAGGAAGTTAAAACTAATGAAAATCTTAATGGTCTTCCAGGAAAAAGGACATTTAAAAAGAAAAGCAAATGTAAGTGAAGTTTATAGCATTTTGAAACTAAGAAAAAGTATATCACAATTAAGTTGTAATTAGAGAATGTATTTCTGGCTCGAATTTAATAGGAGGTAATTATAGGAATTTTATGCAATAGGTTCTAAGTGACATAAAAAATCAGGGTAGAGGTTATTTTAGGAAACTATCTTTGTTAGGCATTTATGTCAAACTGCTCACATTTATAATTAAACACACAATGTACAACACAGGAATTGCTTGTAATCATTCAATACTTTTAAAATTGCAAATTACTAATAGTCTCTGGTGACTTGTCCTAAGATCTGGAATCATGACTTTATATTAAGTTCTCTAGAGAAAACAAGCTCCAATTGGGTATTCAAAACCAGCCAGTTTCAACATGCTCACCTTTTAAAACACACATAAATCATCACCTTATCTGACCCCTAACCCCAACACACACTAACTCATTTAATCAGGACCAAAGCAGAACAGTATCCAAAGCTAAAACTTGTACCTCCATAATACCAAATTGTTTTTTTGAAAGCATAAATCAAATAAAATAAGGCAGTTGGCAAACAAATTTAGAAAACTAACTTTTACATAAATGCTATGGGCTGGAAATAATAGCTGCCATTTAGTGTTTGCCATGTGTAATAACAACAACCAAAACAAAAAAGTTTCAAATAAAACCTGTGGCAAAAAAGTTAAGTAAAACCTCAAAGTTACGGGGCGCTGGTGGCTCACGCCTGTAATCCTAGCTACTCAGGAGGCAGAGATCAGAAGGACTGCAGTTCCAAATCAGCACGGGCAAATAGTTTGTGATATCCTATCTCAAAAAGGGCTGGTGGAATGGCTCAATGTGTAGGCTCTGAGTTCAAGCCCGAGTACTGCAAAAAAAAAAAAAAACCCATAAAACCAAAAACCTCAAAGTCACACAGCTATACTAGAGGCAATTAAATCTAGGCAGACTGAATCTAGAGTCTGTGACCTTAACAACTACAGACTGCATGCAGTACCTACCAGTTATAAGTGCAAGTTGAGCAGCAATGAAGGAAATCTTTTCAAAACAGAACTCCCCTGGCAAAAGCACATAGTTCAAATATTCTCAGTATCAGTTTTTTAACATACTGAGTTTTAGGGGAAATGGAAAGCTAAATTTTTTTTTAAGAAGGTACAAATTTTCAAGTCTTTTAGATCTGCAAAACCAACAATCTCTGCAAAGTATAGTAAGAGTTACAGAGTAATATTTACACTCCAGCTCTTATCATGCAGTATAGTATTTTGGGATGCTTCCATTTGCCACTCCATATAAAATCATTAACATTGTTTTACAAGTTTTTCCTAAACATATTTGTCAGTCTTCTTCCTATTTTGGCTAACACCTACTAACTAAATCAGGTATAAGCAGTAAGAGCATACACCATGATACTGTATCAGCATGATTCTGTAGTATCAAGCTTAAATAGAACCATTGAACTTACATAATGTCAATTTCAAGTAAAATGACTAATAAAGGTTTAACACAAGCATATTTGGTTTCTGTGTTATTTTAAGCAAGAAAATGAAAATTTTACACTTTTCTTAAATGTTATTATGGCATACAACCCACCACTATTCTTTTCTACTTTTCTATATTAAGCTCAGAGTTGTTGCATTTATGCTCTCACCTTAAAGGCAAGTACACTGGTACTCTACAATTGCAGTAAAGATTTTGCATGAAAAAGATCAAAATTATATACACTGAAAGACTAAGACGCTTACAGTAATCAACAGTCTTTAGCTAGTGGAAAGTTAGGCAAGATCCATGAGCAATGCAAAATCATCCCATTAATCTGGGTAAAAATACAGTTTTGGGCTGGTGGCATAACTCAGGGTAGAGCACTTGGCTAGCATGCAAAAAGACCCTATGTTTGATCCCAGTCCTACAATAAACAAACAATTTGTAATGAAAAATGCTTCTGATAGGATCCAGCTGTCAAAACAAATGTCAAAAAGTATTTATTTAAACCACTCTGGAATTATCCAAGTTCTTAGAATAACTTTATAGTCAAACAAATTAATATACATACAGTAGTTTAAATTTACATTATGATAAATTCAATTAGCTTAATTAATAAAGAAAAACTATAAAATTAAGACTTCTCCACTTAAACTTTGTAGCTTCTCTTCACAGGAGAAAACAAAGTATTACACATAAAAAACTCTAGTATACAATTAGTATTTAAATTATGCTTTTAAAGCATAACTTCACTGTATTTATTAATGACATCAATCACTTAGTAATAGGCTTGAAGGCCAAGTTATGTGTGAAAAGAGAGAAATGAACAAAGAACAAAAGATATGATTTTGAAATACATAAGCCTGACTACTAAAGCTTTTGCCCATACAAATAATAATTTGTGTTTTAAAACAAAGAATCAAGAGTACCAAGTTTCCTGAAAAAGCAAGAAAAGACACAAGTCTCAAAAGAAACTTCATGTAGACAACACATCAGATAAACTCTATGAAGAACAAAACACTGTTTAAGAGTGGTGACAAGATTCTAGAGTACAGCTGCTCAGAGTTTTCCTTCCATATGGCTAAGAATCCCATTTCTTAGTCATTTATTTCTTTACAAAAACAAAAGAAACAAACCCAGTGGTTCATTTTCCTAGTATCAATCACTACAACAGACTTCTGGACATTATATTGGAAGAAAAGAAGAAAAAGGAAATGAAGTTTAAAAATCAGAAAATAAAAACTGCCAAACTACAACTGAACTGCTTTTGAGATATAGTATGAGCTCTCCCAATGTTGGAGGGCCTTAAGCCCATGTTTGAGAAACAGTGCTTTATTTTATTGAAAATGGAAACTAGATATCTAAAGAGAGAATTTCAAACTCTTTCACTTTTATACCACAAAACAAAAAAACATCTTGGGCCAGAAATGATACCAAATGACCAGAGTAAACTTTCCAAGACTACATCTATTGCCAAATGTTAAAATAATTAAATAAACTACAAAACAAATCAATACTAAAGAAAAACAAAATTAGATATAACCTGACTTAGACATGTACCATAATGTTGCTCTTGTCACTACTCTTTTAAAATAATCCTACATCACAAATGTCCAAAATGTTATTATTCCTGCCTCCTAAAATCATATTGCATATTCGATAAGCTATAAAACTAAGTAATTATTGAGTCCCCTATTAGAACAAAGCCTCCATACAACTCAGTGTAAAATAACATATAATATTCCAAAATGTAAATTACAATGGTCTGGTCACATCCACATGCTCAAGCCTTCATTCAATAGTGCCCACATCTTTACTGGAGTGAAAATAGTGTATTTGCCATCTCTTGAATGTAATCACTATGGCATCGCAGATCATAATCTCTCACCTGAACTATCCTCTTCCTCTCTTCTACCTAATCAAAGACTCAACTGAAGCTCCACATCCATCATGAAGCTAACCATTACCCTACAACCAAGACCATTCTCCTCCCCTTCCAAATTTATTACAGCACTTACTACTATAATTTACCTGCCCGCTAATCATATGCTATCTTGAACTGTATAGGACAGAGCTTTTAAAAACGCTTCCTCTAGATTTAGAGGGTCTGACTGATTTAGAGGGTTCTACTTTTACCATGTCATCTACAAGAAAACTCACTAACCTCTATTTCTACAGCTGTAAAGTGCAGCCTCTATACCACCACTTCAAAGGCATACTATGAAAATGATTTCTGTTTAGTTGTCAGCAACAAATTGATGTAGTCTAGTTAAGTGAATTAAACATTCAACTTCTAATACTAGAAAAGTAATACGACAACATACACAAGGACAGATGAATCACATAATGATACAATTCCTAGTTGTGCTTAAATTTAACCTTTTCCAGAAAAATTTAAGAGGTAAAAATTCCCACAAGGTATAGTGGTTATGCTGTGGCCTAAAAACAGAGGTGTGGGAGCAGGAACTAATCTCACTCTGATTCCAACATAAGACTAAAATTTTGTCTCCCAAGAAAATGAACCTGGTATACAGCAGTTTAGAGCATGTCAATTGCACCAAAAACAAAGTAAGTGATATTATACATGCTCAAAGGCAGTAAAGATGCTCAATGTCATGAGTTACAACCTGACGAACCCATCTAAGTTGAAAATATTTTAGGTTGAGATGCATTTACCACATCTAATGGATGGACCATCACAACTGGGCAAAATGGCATTCATGCTTTGACAGATTGCTCCACCAAAACATCTAAGCAAACCAAGAAAGAGAAAAAACAATGAATTCTGGAAACAGGATGACAACAAAGTAAGTCTTAGGATAACAGCTACGCAGCTGGCTTAAAGACAACCAGTCCAGACAAAAGCAGAGAATGGAGGTCTCCAGAAAGGGTATCTCCATGGGAAAGAAAAAAGAAGCTAACACAAGTTCTAAAAGAATGGAAAACTGTACTGAAAGCTAATAGAATTAACAATAAGCACAAAGAATAAATCAGTAAACTTTTCAAAACAGCAGTAATTTATGAAAAATTTGCAAAAAACTCCCACCTATAGTGCCTTATTAATGCTCACTCATGAATAATATTTAGGCATAAAAATCACAAACTACTAATTTCACCAAAATTTATATGAATAACTGCATTAACAGTAAAAAAGAAAGAGGAATAGAGATGTGGCTGAAGTGGCAGAGTGCCTACTTTGCAAGTATGAAGCCCTGAGTTCAAACCCTAGTTCCCCAAAAAAAACTTAACTATAACAAAAAAACCCCAGTATTTTAAAGGAATTCTCCTTCAATGGAGATGGGGTGAGTTCAACCTTGATGTATTTGACATATTTGTAAGAACTTTTGTAAATGTCACAATGTACCCCCAGTATAACACTAATTTAAAAAAAAGAGAGGATGGCATAGTTTAAAAAAGGAAAATTCTCACCTGCCATAAATGATGTTATATATGCTATATAAGAGTT